GTTTGTAGAAGAATTTCTTAAGCGAGTTACTTTAAGACTCGCATGATTATTTTTATTTCAATAAAAGATCTTATATTAACTTGACTTGAAGAGTGGGAGGTAAGTTCAGATATGAACACATAGATATAATGCCCCGATTTTTAATGAATTTAATAAAAATTTATGATATGTATGCCGTGATAGATATGGGGAGACATAGGGCTACACCCCTCTCACTTGGGGAGGGGGGGTGGGACCCAATGTATAAAATATTTTTTTATTTAAACGGGTCCCACCCCCATGTGAGGGGGGTGTACACCCTTATATACACTATGATATACCTATAGCAAAGCTCTTCTCAAATAATTTGTTTACTTCAATTTTTCAACCCAAAAATTTATCCCATTGCCCACCAATGACCAACCCAATCGCTAAAAGAATTTGTTTACATCAATTTTACATCAAGAGAAGGAAAAAGAGCAAAGTATTTATTGGGATGAGTATGTTACATTGCGACGTGTGACAGATCATTTCATCTATAAGTGAAGTCTTGAAACCTCTTTCATTTCTTGAAACTTTCCATTCTATACCTGCTAATATCTTTCAAATTTCGAGAAATGCCGACTTTTTTAGAGTGGCTCGAGCTTACACAGTTTATTTGTTAAACCGCTTAATGCAAAACTATTATATCTTGATAGTTATTGATATGTCATGTCATGGGTTTGCTCAAACTTTGTTTTTGGTTTGGCGCTCCCTTCGAGTAGCGATTATTGTATAGTGCTTCTGCTGCTATATTTGATTGTTGAAGAGCATAGAATATCCATTCTAATGGCCAAAAAAAGTTATACAGTTTGGTTTTAGATCAAATCGATCATGTTGGGTTGGAGCAAAAATTGATTCAACCCACGCCACCCCTACACAAGATTTGACACATCTAGGTGAAAAAATTTGCCCTTCATAACCTTAATTATAGGAAAATCAATTCCCTTTAAAATATTTTCTTTCCACCCATTTTCCAACTTTGCAATCAAACGGACCTTAAGTGAAGTCTTGAAACCTCTTTCATTTCTTGAAACTTTCCATTCTATAGCTGCCACTATCATTAAATATCTTTCAAATTTCGAGAAATGCCAATTTTTTTATTGTGGCTCGAGCTTACACAGTTTATTTGTTAAACCACTTAATGCAAAACTATTATATCTTGATAGTTATTGATATGTCATGTCATGGGTTTGCTCAAACTTTGTTTTTGGTTTGGGGCTCCTTTCGAGTAGCGATTATTGTATAGTGCTTCTGCTGCTATATTTGATTGTTGAAGCGCATAGAATATCCATTCTAATGGCCAAAAAAAGTTATACAGTTTGGTTTTAGATCAAATCGACCATGTTGGGTTGGGGCAAAAATTGATTCAACCCACGCCACCCCTACTCAAGATTTGACACATCTAGGTGAAGAAATTTGCCCTTCATAACCTTAATTCCTTTCTCTACCCTTGAATATGTGAGTGAAAAGTTGTGGATCTCATAAAATATATTATTAAAATTAATTGTTGACTTTGATTTAGAATAAAATTTTAACTTTAATTTCTAATAGGGGCTATATATGAAAAATCATTTAAGTTACTAAACCCCTATTTAAGCCACATTCTTTTTCTTTAATTTTTTTTTTCTCAAATTCATTTTTAATCACGTATTTTCTCAATGAAATAATTGTGTATGTAAGTCTATAATTTTTCATAATTTAAACCACATATCATGAAAAAATCACTATTACGAAACTTATTTTTTTATCCCCCAAAAAATGAGGCTCAAAGATAAAAGTTACAACATGCAACCAAAAGTACGTTCAATAGGAAAAAACAAAAAACCTCCATTACAAGAAGAGCATGGGAAAGGACGGGCTTACAATGTTTGTTCGATAATCGTTCTAAAACATTTTCAACCACATTGATAACATGACTTAACCAATGATTTTGGTGGCTATAGCAACTTTAATGAGTTGGACGTCGAACTCTATAGATTAACTTTGGAGTGATATTATTTGTACATTATTGTGTACATAATGATGTACAAATAAATGATATGGAAGAGAGATACAAAAGGATGAATAATACTATTTGTACGCAGTGGTTGATCCATAATTTCAAGTGAGTACGGGCGGTCGTTGACCATTAATAACCTTGATAAAAATCAAATATATCGGTTATTTTGCTAAAACTAAAAATATGTTATAGCGATCAAACATTCCATATTTTCAAAGGGAATCATGTTCGAATTTTTCCCTTTACAATGATTTTAATAACTATGTTTTAAATTTGTGAAAAATATTGAACTAAAATGCATGACGGATTGTTCTTGTAGATTATCAAACTCAAGACATTGCGCTTACTAAACATATGTTATATTCATCTGAGCTACTTTGCATAGGAATAGATGAAATTACATCCAAAAATATATATACATTGACGCCAAAAAAAATTTAATACCGATGGATCTAGCACGGGCGAGTGCCATGTTCGCCGTGTGCTAGAGCACCCGATGCTTGTAGATAAAGAGTTATATAATGATTTATGTATAGATGTGGCGTCAAAAAGAAAGTGTGGAATTTTTTTTATTTGATTGACAAAATTCTGACCAAATCATATCTCACTACATTATGTGTATGTAAATTATTATATACACGTAACACAATAAAAAAAGACAAGGAAAAAAAAGAATGACAACTTGTTCGAGCCCTATTTTGAGAGAAAAAAATGCATTTTTGAATTTGATTTTTGGAGAATATGTGGTTAAAAGTAAAGAAAAAATTTCGATTTGTGTCTAATATTATTTTATTGATGAATGTATTGTTGAAAATTAGTTTTTAAAAAAATATTTTTTTGATAAAATGAGGCTCAAACGGCTCAACTATTACAATCTTTTTCTCTTCCATCTCATTTATTTGTACTATATAATAATATACTAATAACATTATTCTTAATTTGGACGCGATTCAATTTCTTGTAGATAAATAATTTCATATTTACAAATATTAACGAAGATTTGTTCGATTCGATTCTCAATATATTCAGGCTGAGTTAATGCTGAGAAGATTGGACCGATCGGTCAGTTTTGACCCGACTAGTTCAGCGTACAAAGTAGCGGTGTTCCCACGATAAAAAGTGAGGAAATTACACAAAATCAGAATTTTAAAGTTACAATTTCAAATTTCAGATATAAACTTTATTTATACAAAAATCGGATATTAATTCATCTACCTTCTCTCTCTAAATCATAATTACTCAAACATAACTCCAATTTTATCTCTCTCCTCTCTCTCTCTCTCTACCATACAACACACCGTGAAGATACCGTTGATACGCCGCTCACGATGTCACCGCCACAGCCGCGTCCCTCTGAAAGCTAGTTGCAGCCACAACGACGTCTCATTGCCTCTCAAAGCGGCATCGTTTGACACTATTGCGAAGTGACGATGGCGTTGTCTGTGCACATCGTCACCGCAACAATGACGTTGCCATTGGTGGGTTGTGTGTGGTTGATTTAGCAGTGATGGCGACGACGGAATTAGTTCCCGACGGTAGATTCGAGAATTTTTTTTGGTAAAGGTTGTGGTTTTGGAATGGTAGGCTGGTGGTGTTGGTTGCAATGTTGAGATAATGGTTTTGCTGCCAGTGGTGTCAATGTCAGTGGTGGTCGGAATTTTTTTGTTTGTTGCGTTTGTTGTTGGTGGTGGTGTCGATGTCAGTGGTGATTGCTGGTTGTGGTCGTGTGGTGGTCATCACAGTGTCAGTGGTGGTGTGGCTGTTGTTGTGGATTTGATTTGTTGCTATTTTTTTGGTGACCGTGGCAACGATTTAGTTGGATATTGTTGTTGTTGTTGTTGGTGGTGGTGGTGGTGGTGATTTTGAAGTGGAAAATGGTAGTTGTTGGAAGTGGTGGTGCTTGGTGGATTGGGGTAGGGAGTGGAATTAAGAGTGATCGTGACCATTAATATGGGTATTCTGTGACTAAAAAATAATACGTGACAAATAAATCGTGACCAATAAATAATATGTTACCTAAAAATTTGAATCGTGACTTATGAAATTTGTGATTTGTGATCGATAAATTAATTATGATTTATAAAAATTTTTATTTGTGACCAAAAAATGATTTTGTAATCAAATTGTATAAAATTGCGACCAAGTTGTGAAATATAAATTTTTTGATTTGTGACCGATAAACAAATTGTAACTTATAAAATTTATGAATTGTGACCTTACTATAATTTGTGACTTATAAAATTTTCGATTTGTGATCGATGAACAAATTGTGACATGTAAAATTTTTGAATTGTGACTGTAAAATAATTTGTGACGACTCAATTTTGTATTTGTGATCGATAAATAAATTGTGACCATAAAATAATGTGACGTGTAAAATTTGTGAACAATTATATAGAATTTGTGACCAAATTATATGGAATTGTGACCTTAATATACTTAATTAATAAATTATATGTTTAATTAATTAATTTATAAAAAAAATTTAAAAAAAATATGAGATTTGAAATTTTAAATCTAAAAAAATTTGAAATTTGAAATTTTATCTCTTAAATTTAAAATTGGTGAAGGTGAAATTTGACCTCTTAATTATGAAATCTTCCCAAAAAAAAGTTTGGCCGCTCCAACCCAAATGAGAAAACCCGATAGAAAGTTCGAGAAGAGGCTTTTGTATTTTATTTAATTTAATAAAATAAATTTTCATCCGTTGTACAAATCAGTCAAGAAACTACTCCTGTCCAAGGCTGCCATTGCAATTTTCAGAGGTATGCACGACCCAGGAAACTTCCAGAATTCAAAGAGATCCCACCTCGAATTAAATAAAAGAATAATTTTTCCCGTTAATAGCACGTTTTTTTTAATTCCAGTCAATACATTCTGTATACCAATATTTCTTTTTGCCCTTTGATTGAATCCAGACTGCTTCGTTTGCATTTGGTTGGGGTTTCTTTAGTTTAATTTGATAGTTCTTTAGAGAAAAATGGAGGGTGGTGCAGCTGCTGTTTCAACAGAGAATGCATCAGAATCAGCTGCGGCAGCCTCATACACCTATTGGGTAAGGGAATTGACCCATGATGCAGCTCCAAGACCCGTCCCCAAGAAGCTCGACGTGGAGGATTTGCCCAATCAATCCAAACCGACCCACCTAGGCTCCGCATGGAATCGGGTATCCATTTGGAGTAAATAAATTTTTTCTTTTAAGATGTTTTTTCCCGGTCTTTTATTGATATGGATTTTGCTATATGCTTGGCTAAGATTTTTGTTGCTTATTTTCAGTGTATTTTGTTTACAGTTATTTTGAGGAAATTTTATTATGGAATCTTTGAATCCAAAAGGAAAAAGAAACAGAAAATGTGAAACGAAATGGAGATTTGGCAGATAGTTGAGTTATTAACTGTATTGTTGTCGAAGAAATATATATTTACGTTATTCTGCGTGAGTAAACTGTATGAAGTTGTTAATTTAATGATAAATATTTAAACATTTTCTTGTTTTTCCTTTCTGTAAAACGGAGTGTAGTTGAGATAAATTGTTTTCATACTCGATGTATTTGAAGTTGAAAAATGTATTGAGTTATAGTGCTGAAGTGGAAGATAACATTTTTCAGTGCTATAAAGTAAAATTCCTGATTATGGATAGACAATGGCTCGTTGACTGTAATTGAACCTAGACTTTGAGAAGCACTTCAGGATGAATATGATTCCATGTCAGTGGCACAGTTGGCATCTAAGGGGTTGTTCTTTAGAAAGTTTCCTGTTTGTCTTCAATTTTTGTGTATCCTGAACCGAGGAAGAAAAATATAAGCAGGGGGAGAGGAACTACATGCATTCACAAGTTTCAAAAAATCCATTCAAAATGAATTAAGATGGCTAGCTTAAGAACGAACTAATTAGACCACATTTCCGTCCGTAAGACATGTAGATGATACAGTCAAAACTTTTTTCATTTCGGGGATAAGTTTATCAACAAGAGCATATATATTGAAGTGTAGGAGTTGGATTAAGGCTCTCCAACACTCTCCAAATGGTGATATGCCTTCAAGTCACATGCCAATGCCATGATATAGAAATTGTTCAAGAAGAGGATACAAGCCATCGAACATTTATCCTTAAAAAACCTATTGCTACTGAGTGTGTCCTGGATTGGAGTCATATTTGTACCTACTTAAGTGATTCTGATGGAAACAAATTTGAAAAAGAATTCCTCTGAAACCCAATGTACTAATGGCCTTGATACTAAAGCATTCGTTCTTACCATCATCACAACTTGATTGTAGGAACTTTTCATCAGGCACGAAAGTGTAATGAAGAGTTATGGTAGCAGATAGCTGACACTCATTAAGAAATAAAAATAATTTTCCATTCCTCATGGCTGTAGCCAACAAGTACCATTCACAAAAATCTCAAGGCCCTCTGACATAGTACCAGCATTAAGTCATAAAAATGTCCGTGGGATGTGACTTACTACCTGTATTTAGAACTTCTTAGAGACTAGAGTTATCAATAATTGAGATAGACGATGAAATACATGTTGACAAGTTCTAGAAATTTCCCTTTTCTCTTTTTCCCCTTTTGTCCTACTCTTTCTTGAACTGTTATAACTCTTAAATCTGCATCTGGCATGTGGGTCGTCTGGGCTGAAGTTTCTCCAGATGTTATTAATCAAACTAGAGGTTGAAGAGACTGGAAGTAAGAGATTATCAGAATTTTATTAACTAAACCAGAGTTTGTTTCCATAGAGTTTGTATGTTTATAATGTAAATAAATTATACATTTAAGGAAATTTATATCCATCAGTACTGAAACTTATTGATATACTTCTTTTTGGTTTGAAAACATTAGTTTTAAGTTCACTTGGTCTCACTTCAGTGCTATTGCATATGACATGCGTAATGTGTAGACCTCAAGTTTATACATTATTGTTTGTTATGTTTTAAGTTCACCTTTTATTTACATCATGTCAATCATTATTTCGTTTTTCAGGCTGGAACATGGGAAGAGAAGAGTTTGAATAATTGGGCAAGCAATAGAATTAAGGTTTGTATGCTTGTAATCATTTATGTTTTTCCAGGTGTGTTTATCTAGCCTGTGCTGCAACAACTTTTTCTGTTGATAATCCTTGACATTTCCTGGTTGTCGCCTAATGGGGGTTATTTGTCATGATTTTAATGTTCTTGTCTCTGTCATTACTTTTGGCTTGTTCTTCTAATATTCAAAATATTTGTTGCTGTAGACATCGTCAATCAGAATTAAAATTATAAAAAACAATTCTATCTCAACAAACAACAGGAAATAACTTAGTTGCATAAGCTTAAAAGTTAGCTAAATAGAGAAACAACCTTTCAGTGGAATGACCAAATACCTTCGAAGAAATATACCTAATTAAACCCCAAGTAAACACTCTCTTCAATCCCAACAACTTGTTTGCATATCCAAGCTTGATCATGTTATATGCTTGATCGGGTGATCATAGAAAATCTAGATATTTACATATCATGCTCGTTCATTGCAGGAATTGCTCGTGTCTGTGGGGACCCTGGAGTTCTCTGGTGGCAGAGCAGAAATATCAGAAGTAACTAGATGCTCCGGTGATGTGAGTGCTCGTAACTACTTACATGGGCAAGATGATTTGACTGTTCAGTCCCATAAATTTCTATTAGCTTCTAAGTAAATTTGTTTTCTTGTAGAGATTTGACATACTTGATGTCGTCAAAGGATCCACTTAGAGATCTATATTCTTACACACAAGATAGATGCAGAATATGTTTTTGCTGAACATCGGTTTCTTCTTTATAGCTGTTTGCTATCTCTTTTGTGAGAATTATTATTTGAGTTACAAGTTACAGACTCGGTCGATTTTAAGAGATGAAAAATTGAAACTAATAGAAACTGGCAGTAAGAAGTTCAGTAATTAGGTAATAAGCATCTGGAATGGTAATCACTGGTACAAAAATTTACTGATCATTAGAGGTCACTTCAAAATAGTACATAAATACACGAAAGATCTTGGCTGTTTTATTTTATTATATGATCGTGTGAATTCATTCTGCAAATTATATTCTTCTTAGCTCTAATTCAATAAAGGTTTCTTTTGCCTTGACACCCTCGACTAAGTTATACTCAATTTATGCATTAAAGTGTGTTTGGTGCACTAGTCGGAACGTTCAAGGAATCTAGTATAAATTATTGTGGATATTTTTGGGTAGATGTTATTATGATAGATTAAGATGGTTAGTATTCTTTGATTTTTATTTGAAGAATATCATTTATTATGCCTATTCTGGCTCATGTTTATAAATTGTTTATAAACACAAGTACTTTCTATGCACACATACTTGATGTCGTCAAAGAATGCTATCCACCTTGATTCACCATAGTACCATGTACCTAGTGCTATCCTTTGTAATTTTATATACATCCTAATCCGGCTCCAAGCATAGCCTAAGCGTGTTAACTGACAAACGAAGCACTGTACAGCTGATAAGGGGTAAAATCTGGGATTGTGTAGTGAAATCAATGGGCAAGTTGCTCGTGTGTTTTTTAATGGAAATAGAAGAGGTTGGAAAAACTTAAAATGGAAGGGGATTTAATCAGTGGGATAAGCATAGAGATCTTAGTTTTTTTATATGGCAAGAAACAAGGAAAAGCAGAATGGAAATTATTATGAACGGTGATAGAACTGTCTTAATTATGTCAATATGGTTGCTATATATTAATATATAAAGCTACATTGGTTCCTTTTATAGTTATGACCTCAATTGTTATTCCTAGTAATGATAATTGAACTGGACTTGCAGGCATTCTTGGTGACAGTACGAAACAAAAAACGTGTTGGTTACAATTATGAATTGACATTGAGAGTAAAGGGTACTCTTTACTTTTCTTCCTTCTGTTTTACAGAATTGTAGTCCTTTACTTCATCATTTTTTTTTCCTTTTTGTTTCCATGCTATTGTTTTCTTGTCCACTTTTTTCATAAGTGAGTTATGGAAATCAGGAGAATGGACTGTTGGATCAGAGAGGAGGAAGGTCAAAGGCCATGTAGATATTCCAGAGTTCTCACTTGGTGAACTGGATGACTTGCAGGTATATTATATTCTAGTGTTCAATACCCCTTTGCAGAACGATGTAGGATAGACATGTATTGACGAAACATTACACTATTCGAGAACCTTACCTTCTCAGTATAATAAGATTTTAGAAAATGGGCTGTGTTCGACACATTCCTGTGGAAACTCCACTTGAGTGTGTAAGTTATTCATATTTGCATTTTCTTTGCAGATTCAAGTAAAACTCAGTGAAGACAAAGATCTTTCGCAACAAGATAAGCGGAGGATCATTGAGGATTTGAAATTATTTTTGCAGCCTCTGCGGGAGAAATTACATCAATTTGAGCAGGAACTCAAAGACCGGTAGTAATAACTACTAAATGGTTCTGTATTCAAGCTGTTGCTTCCGTAAGAAATAAGTTGGATTTGTGTGTCTATGTTTGGACTCGAGACTTAAAATTAGATTATGTGTAGTGCAACACGAAACTGATGTCTAGGTTGTTCGTGCATTTGTAATGGAAAATGGAGCTTGATTATTTCTTTCTTTGTGATGGACTACGAATAATTAATCTCAATTTTCTGCATACTTTTGGTGAACTGCTGTGTTTCTTGGTTAGTTTGTGGATTGTTATAATTTTTATCTCCTATTTCTTACATTTATGATTCCACGCCTTTTTAAAAGGAAAGATTGCCCAAGAGATAGGCTGTGTTATTGACGGAATGTTCCCTCAATGCTTCATCTTTCATAGTATATTAATTGCCATGCCCTGCACACGACCCTTTCTTCTAGTTCTGCAAGTCTGTAGATCTATTTTCTTGGTACTCTGCCGCCATAATCAATCAGGCGATTTTCAGTCGATCTTAAACACACCAATTTATTACTGAATCCCTGGTAGCCTCCGCTTATTGGAAGAAATATGTATATTAATTAGAATTTAAAAACGGTTTAATTTATAAATAGACACGAATAGATGGTACTCGTTGATCAATTGCATTAGAATCAATGAAATTTTCAATCATTTATAAATTGATTCGTAAAGTTTGCCACATGGAGACAAAACTTACGGCCACCAGGCACCAACTACTACAGTGGATTAATTATAATGCTTTAGTTCAGGAAAACAACAGTCTTAAAACTCTCAATGCCAATAAATTGAAGAAACACAATGGAGTATCTAAATTTTTAGCTCATTACATATGCTCCTTCTCAATCAGATCCAATAAGAAGTTGGCCATGGATTTTTCCTTTGCGAGTTTTTGACCCTTTCTAGATTTTATCTCAATCGTTAATTGACTATTTCTCCTTACCTTTTGTCTTGAATGATCCACTTAAAGCTGCTTTAGTCTTTGTCCACTCTTTCATTGAAGCAGCACTCCTCATGAAAGGGCAAGCTTCGCTCGTAACAATGTCTCCTAGTGATGGTCGATTGAGTGCTGATGGCACATTCTGCCCAAGTGTTGAATTGGAAGCCTCATTCTCGTTTATATAATTTGTCTTCATTTCAGGACTGGATATCTCACCATTTAAATCGTCGCCGTTCTGCTCTTTCCTTATTAAAGCATCCACATCAAACTTATCTGAAGCAGTGGCAAAAATTTTATTGGCTCCTCCCTTGGGTTTACTAACCACTTCAACAGAATTGCTCCTCTCTTTTTCAAAAGATTTATGCGGCTTATTATTTCTTGAAAATACAAAGTCGTTAAACTTTGGTAGCTCCTGTTTTTCAAAAGTTACACCAGGCAAAACTTGTGAGATACTGAACGAACTATTATGCGTATCGCCAACCAGCTGCGTCCAGGAGGACTTCTGTAGCCATGAGGCACCTCTGGCTGATTTATCAACAGTTGCTCTTGGTATATCTGGCATAACATCAGTAATTTTTTCCAGCTCTTTTACTTGGCTTGATTGGGTTTCCTTGTCAGCATAGCCAGGATCAATAAGATTTTGTTGCTCTTCTACTTCAGTACCATGGCTTGGTGAATTTTCCATGTGCAATTCTGTGCTGCCCTTTTGACTTACCAGATATTCTGACTTCTGTGGTGGTGAAGCATCATGATTTAAATGTGTGGAACCTGATTCCGTCTCTTCCGGTTGTGTGTTTACATCTGTGTTAGAATCATTCATGACTACGTGTGGGCTACCTTTCGTTCTCTTCCTTCCAGACGCATGGTTCTTATCATCTTCATCAAATGGCATTCTCCTTTTCTTCTTAGAAGCCACAGTTTCCCTCTTTTGACTTCCTTGCATTTCCCGAGGGTGTCCATCATTAGAAGTCTTTAGTTCTTTTAATGTTGAATCCTGGGTCACCACAAAAGAGAGAGAGAGAGAGAGAGAGAGAGAGAGAGAGAGAGAGAAGCATTCAATTAAGCACTGAAAGCACATGCGACATTGCAAAAGCATTAAAGTTCATTCAGTCAAGCATTAAGCAATACCCAATCAGCAGTAGCAGCTTCCTGTCTCCGATCCTTGAAGAAAGCACTTCTATCATTGGGCCCAGCCACCATGTTAATTATCAGATTATCTTCATCGCTCACTTGATCATCCCCATTGTCATCAACTTGCACATTGTTGAGTATTGTGGCTGAATTGTACACTTCCATAGTAAATCCAGCCTTGTTACGAGTTGCATTTGAGCAGTTCTCTCTTTCCAAAATCTTGTTCATAACTGACTTCATAATGTTAAGCTCTTCCTCATTTACTCCAAAATTTTCACTTTCATGATTATGAGCTTTTTCTTTAACTGTCTCAGGGCCAGAATGCTCCTCGCAGTCACAAAAGTGTACAGGGAGAGGAGGAACTTCAACACGTTGGAAACTGTATTTGTGCTTGCCCGATCCTTTAAAAGGCACTGCCTTTATCTTCAGGAAGAAAAGTAATAAGCACGAAACAATATATATCAATATCAGTACATCCACAGATGTGACTCGTGCAATTACAGCTCTAAAATCTCAATTCTGGCAGTAGACTTAGCAAGTTAGCTTGCAAGCCAATCATATTTTTATGAAGGAAACAACACAATTGCAGTTAATTTTACCTTTAACCACAGCTGGGAAAAAGAGAAAAGGTATTGAGTAAAAATGAGATAATCTTTGGATGGCATGCAAGCATAGCATAGAGAATAAGAGGTTTTACCTTTCTTAGTTTGGGAAAGAAAATCCGGAGCTGCACTTTTTCCATGCTGGGGTCTTTCTTTGGTTTTTCTGAAGAGAGCACGTTTTCAGCTGGATTAATATTCTGGGTGGGCAAATTGACGGAAAGTTCAACGTCTTCATCCCACTCACGCTTCAGGCGAGCAAGATAGTGTTCCTTAGCCTTCTCAAGTCTCAACTTGCCACTTTTCCACAAGCATCCATTATACTGTAAAATTACATTATCCAAGAATATTCTAATATTCAAAAATGCAAAACAAGCTAATTCATCCTTTAGCTAGTAAGCATACAAGCCACGAAATTACACAACCGACTTGTTAGTGCAGAGAAAAACAAAAATATTCAAGAATGTCTAGCCCCAAAATTTCAGGCTCGGATGCATCGCCTATGTTAGTTATCCTTGTTGTTCTTCTTCCTATAACCACAAAATTAACGATTTGTATCTAATTTTTCTATTAAAGGCGAATATATTGGTCCCTAATGACTTCAGTTAAACCACCTTGAAAGAGCTTTTCTTATCTTTACCTATATAATCATCTCATATTAGTTTCGACCTGCGCTACCACGGATATGGGCAATCGAAATAGGAATTCGAAAACAATCAAACTAAACTTCAAAAGAGTCATTTCTCTAAAGCACCAATTTTCTACCGTAAAACACAAATACTACGCTATAAAGCAAATCCATTTATAAAACAGCAGAGCCACATAAGCATACCGTGCTAAAGAGCTTGGCAAGGCCCTTGTCGGAAACTGGAACAAAGTCCAAATAAGCGAAGCTACGGCCTTTGCTGCGCATTATTTCTACTGAATCCACAGTTCCCAATTGAGGTGAAGTGAAAGTCTTTTTCAAATCATCTTCTTTCACATTCAGCCCCAATCCTCCAACATAAATCCTTAATTTTTCTGCCATATTCGCTTTAAAATTCATTCTTGAAATTCTCCTGTCTTCTTCCAGAGGGATTTAAGTTAAAACCCTAATCCAGCTCCCAAAATCTGAAGCTAATTTAAACGGGTCCTTTACCAATTAAAAAGGTAGCAAGTAAGTCCCCCACTTATTGTTTTGATGGTCCCAGTCCCCAACCATTGGTTTTTAATGCACTTGGGTCCATTGGTAGCAATGAGTACCTCCACATAATACACATACACACATATATTTGAAAAGATAATTATATTTTAAATTTACGTAAATAGATATATATAAAATTAAATAGAAATATAATGCTCTAAATTCATCCAATAATATTTGTTATCATTAAATTATTTTGAACATTTTATATTCTTTTAAAATTTGTGTTTAACTAAAACTCTAAAAATCATAAAATATCATCTTCAACTAAAATCGTAAAACTTTATAATCATAAAATATTATCTTCAATTGAAACCAAAACAACAATGAAAATATAACCGTTAGATGAAATACAAGAAAACGTAGCAATATAAGAAGAAAATTTTGAAAAAGTAAGGATTATGTTTTACTTTGAATTTGATGAATTTAGCATTTACCCGCTTCCTAATATTTTCAAAATGCATTTTTTTCTTTTATTTTATTTTTCAATAAAATAATATTGCACGCAAATTCAAAAATTTTCCTTATTTCTAATCAAACATTCTCCATCAAAATGCTAGTTCGAAATACATTTTGGGGAAAAAAAATTGGATCTCAAACAGGCTTTTAGTATTGAATTATGTTATTTGTACAATATTTTTGTACATTGTTGACAATGTTGGCTATGACAAAAAAATATTGGTTAAAATGATGAATTATTTTTTAAACGGTCAAATGACAACATGCCACGTGACATATTGTCAAAATCATTATATACCAAGCATTGTTCCTTAGTATTACCATTAGAGGAAATACACGATAACAAAATTCATCATTTTTTATTTTTGTTTTTGACGGAACAAAATCGTGGAGTCTTTTCCCACCATTAATGGCTTTTAGCTCTACACAAAAGTATTGCATTCTCAATTGATTTTTTAAAATTTTGAAATTCTATGTAAAGTTTGTGTGAATCTATAATTAGCTATGTCAACAAATCGAGCCGAAAAAAAAGCTCAATCTCCAGCTCGGTCGAGCGTTTTTGGCAGAGTTTTTTTGGGCCTGTGCCGAGCCTGGACAAAAAAATAAGGCTCTGTCCCAGCTTTGGCCCGAGCCTTAGCGAGCCGAGCCGGCCCGCAACGGCCGAACCTATCGGAACCGAGCCTTCCGAGCCGACGACTTTTTTTGCCATCGCTATCTATAATGTATAAATGAATGAATTTAATAAGGATTATGTTGAAATTTGACGTGGATGAAAATAGTTTTTTATTTTAATATTTTAATATGGATGAATACAAAGTGAGATGAATATATAAGGAGTTAAACAGCAGCATCCAAAAGAATAAAGTTATTTGTACAAAAAGAATTTGACAAAAATGTTGACAAACACTCACATGATTGTCGACCCCACATGAATAAAAAATTGAAAATAAAAAGTGGGCCCCCCCCACATGTGAGGGTTTGTCAACATTTTTGTACAAATTCTTTTGTACAAGTAGTAAGGTTCGCATCCAAAAACAATGACCTTTATTGCGTCAACATGACGCAATATGTTAGCCCCATTAAACAATTAAAATTCCCTCCCAAAAACTCATATTTTGCTTATAATCTTCGTAGAACCCTAAATCGGAATCGTTAATTATGCCTCCAAGAAAAGAACTCTGCAGGAATTTCAACGTGGCACGTACGTTTTTAGGTTTTGTTAAGTCATGTTAATTAAATTCCCAGTTTTTCCTTTCCTTCGAAACTAGACTGTATTTTAATTTTTGAACTTTTATAAACCATTGGTAGTTGATAATACTGTTAGGAAGCTTTCAGTTTCTGATATATATTGCACCTTTTTGTGTGCTTTGATAGTAAATTGTCATTGTAATTAAAGGGACTTCATATTTTTATTTTGTTTGGGTTTTGCACTAACTAATTTTAGATTATTTGAAAATATGGAGCTTAATTTTTGTTTATTGACATGCTTATAAGTTGGAATACCATCTATAAACTATAGTTGATAGCGTTTTTTGACTCCGGATCTAAACTGGTTTCGAGATCAATAAAGACAAAACTCAAGGAAATCTATAAAGTTGATTTATGAACAACTTGTGGACAAATTTGAGTTGTGGAATGGGATGATCTTTCGATCATCTCTAATTTAGTATTACCTTTTTCATGTTTACAACTACCGAAATATAGAATGTTCCGTGAGCTCGAGAATTCTGCACTCTTGAAGAGCTATCTCTTAGTTTAGCTATATACTACTTAAAAATTGCAAATATGCAATGATTAAAAAGCAATACTGTTATTGTTTTGGCCATAAGGACTAGGATGTGCAAGTGGCATCAATTTGAAGTTATAAGTTAATCTCGAAGGGACAAAGCTAGAACACTTTATGCTTTAGTACGGAGATATTGTATGCACTGCAAATTGATGCACAATAGAGTCTGCAGTTGTGTCAAGAGAGTCACTATCTCCACTTTTATTTAGAATTTTTAAAGCATGTTGGCACTATTGTTCTTGTGCTTTATCATATCTTTCCTCTCTGATGTATATGGCCCAATCATTTCAGACTTCAGAATTGCAGATAATTTTATGTGACATAAATAGAATTATAAAAAATCTCGATAGGTCTATTCCTTAAGTTGTTTTCTGCATCATGTAATACTTTTCTAATCTCACACAGTTGTCGATATGGTGATGACTGTAAGTTTCTTCATGTCATTCCACAACAATCACAGCCCAGTCCCTTTGGATTTGGCACACAAACTGGCACTCAGTTTCAGCGCACAAATCCACAACAGCAGAAGCCCAATCCTTTTGGTTTTGGAGCCCAGAATAATGCTCAACCGAGAGAGGCAAATGATTTTGGATCCAGACCAAATCGATTCAAGGTTCTTTTCCTATATGATTCTAGCTTCTTACTGCATATTTGATTTCAGATTAATGGTGGTGTCATCTACGTGTGACTCAATTATGGCTTATCTGTTGTTTTACCAATGTATTCATTATCTTGTTTTTTACCCTGTAATATTCTTTTGGGATCAGCCTTTTGAAAATAAGTGGACTCGTTTCTCCCCTTTGAATACAAGTAGCTCCTCTACATTGCGGCAATCTGACAGTCAGACTCCTGTACCTAATCACAAGTAAGTGTGCGATCATCAATGAAAGATGTTCTTTTCTCCGCATTTATAGTATTTCACTCATTCATTTTATACTCAAATCACATGCATTTGGTGGATTATGGTTTTGATGCATGTGAAGGTGCACAGATCCTGAGTCTTGCAAACGTCAAATGATTGAAGATTTTGAAAATGAGAGGCCACTGTGGAAGCTTACTTGTTATGGGCACAACAAAAAGTATGCACCATCTTCTAATATTTCCAAATCTTTAAGAAATTAATATTTTAAAGTTTCCATTTTTATAATTCTGTTGGTCATTTTGTGGCTGAAATGGAGTTCATAAATGGTCTATTATTTTGTCTGCAGCGGTCCATGTGACATTGTTGGTGATATCAGCTATGAAGAGTTGCGTGCATTGGCATATGATGAAGCTAAGTGTGGATTGAGCTTACAGTCCATTGTAAGATAATCTAAACTCACTTTCTTGACATTTTGTATTCTGGAGGCAAGCTGTCTAGTGAGGTTGAAAGTTGTATCACCTAAAGGCTTACACAAATTCAAACACAGACATTTATTCTCAAAATTGAAGCAGTAAATTGATTGCACAGTATAAGCAGTAAACTGATTACCTAGAGTGAAATAACTCTCATTTTTCTTTAGTTGATTAGATTCTTGCAGAGAAAAGGTTGGGATTTTATCAATCTGTGTTTCTGCTGTTTTACATATCTGTACTTAGGAATGAGACAAATACTATAAAATTTCAATTAGTGTTGGCGTTCACTATGTCTAATTTGTTCAGAAAATTTCATGGATTTGAATATATTTTAGATTATAAAATTATATAATAGGAATCGGGTTACTTGGAAGATCAGTTTATTTACTGGCTATTGGTTGTTCTTATCTTGATGCAGATCGATAGAGAAAAGAGCCTAATAAATTCCAAATTGGTTGAATTTCAAAGCCTTGTACAGAAACCACATGCGGTTTCAGCAAATGCCTCAATTAGCACTCAAAATTCTGTTGCCGGTGTCAGCCCAAATGCTCCAATGACAATTCAGAGCGGTGGTCCTCCTCCATTGTCAAGTTTTGGTCAATTTGGAGCATCAGTAAACTCGCCTGGAGTGTGAGCTCTTGTTTCTAATACTAATTTTTCTATTGTCCATTCACTTGTCTATGTTCGGGTTACCATGTATCCTTTGTGCCATATTACTTCCCAGGTTCGGTGCTGCATCAAGTTATACCTTTGGGCAATCCCACTCTTTCCAGAGGCATCTAGTACATTTCAGAGAAATAACTCACCCGCCATAAGTTCTCACCAGAACTCATTTTCAACTTCATCAACCTCATCTCATATGCCTATTGTGACTTATAACCTGACAGAGGTTCTCATGAGTGGGGCTAATTCTGCCTTGAATGTGACTAAAAGGATCAAGTTGATGTAAGTTGTTGCACCTATTACTGTTTATTTGCTATTATACTATGTGCTAAAAGGTTATGATGAACTAGAACCATTACTATGTAAAGTTTAATCACAAGAAATATTTATTTTATTAAAAAAATGCTTTAAAGCATATGGACACCAAGACCACTGAAGACAACTCTTCAGTTTAATTATGTGTCTCAAACTTAGCACCTCACGGTTCCCTATAGCATTTTATCTCTCTCTTGTGCTCACTATCTCTCTTATCACTCATCCAATTCACATAATACATCCACTCTACTCATATTTATAGGAGTTATATGTTGGTGGGTTTGGAGTTCACATAATTGTAGACTAATTCTAGGTGGTTCTTATGGAGGTAGCTTAAGGAAAATTCTAGGAATAAGAAACCATAATATAGAGAAGAATTTTGAGCTATCAAAATAAGTCTGGTGATGATCCTTCAAACCTGTCTCAGACCACGCACTGTATTATTGTTACCTCCTTCAGTTTAAAGTTATCCAACCGAACTATTGGAATGTTTGATTGTGTCTCTGTTGCAGCTGAACAAGTTTTCTCCCAATCCAAATCATCCTAACATCCCTCAATACATACAGCTGTGGACACAAGCTAATGCATGAATCAAAGTCGGTTCGAATTTGCCTTGTCATCATCACTCTCTCTCTCTCTCTCTCCCTCCCTCCCTCCCTCTCCCTCTCCCTCTCCCCCACCACCTGAAAAGGGTAACAAGAGAATAATATGTGGAACTGAAAGAACTATTCTTATAAAAATTAAAAATTGCCATTTTGGCCAAGGCCAATTGCCTATTCTGATTTTTTTTTTCAGCATGCTTTAGAGCCAATTCATGTTATAATTTTAGATATTCTCTAGAAATGCATAATAGGGGCCTGTATGATGTATATATTTTGAGAATAGATGTTGTGAAAAGTGAGTTTTTTGGAGACCGTGTGGTTAAATAGTAAGGAAAGTAATTGGTTGATGTGCAAAATTCTTTTATTGAGATAATGTGTGGTTGAAAATGTGTTCGAGGAAAAATGAGTTTTAAAGAATATGGAAAGCAGCCTCGATGCCTATTACTTGAGGATTTGTGGCTGGAAAATGTGGAAAAATATTGGATTGCTAGGGATTAATTTAAGTGATAAATGGAGAGATAATTGAAATAATTAAGAGGCTGACAGGATGGACAATGATGGTTTATTCTGTCACTTGATGACAGGGACAATGTTTATGGTGTTTTGGAGGCTTTGCTCTGTCCTTGAGATATGTGCTTGTGGAAGAACGTGTTTGGAATACATTTGGCTATGTGGATATAGTAGTTTCAAATAATAATTGCAAAGTGTTGATAGTTGTGTGACACTTTTGTTGTCATCAAACCTATGTTTTTGTTATCATTTGTCCTATGTTTTGTTTACTGATTTCTAGCCTAAGCAAAGTATGGTCCTGCAACAAGTTAAGTTGCTGTCATGTAAGACTAACTGGAAGTAGGTGGAGATAGTTGTTGAAAAATACTTTTGTGATGTATGATTGATTGTATAAAATCTTCAGCCGTGTAACACTTCATGTGTGAATAAAAAACTTCTCTCTCCTCTTTGTTCTTCATTTACCTTCAGTGGTATCGGAGCTTAATATGATCTTTGAAGAAGCTGCAAAACGGCAGTGTTCTCAGAGAAAACTAGAGAGATACCCTTCATTGAAATAGCCGAGTGTTTGGTAAGTGAGCGAGATGGCTTTAAGTGGTTTTTCATTACCATTACCTTCTGTGTTTACAAGAGAAAACTATGATTTTTGGGCTGTAAAAATGAAAGCATACGTGAAGGCTTATGATATGTGGGAAATCACAGAAACAGGAACAGAACCGCCGCCATTGAGAGCTAATCCAACCATTGCTCAGTTGAAGCAGCATAGTGAAGAGATAGCAAAGAAGTTCAAGGCCATTTCTTGCATTCAATCTGCTGTTTCAGATGCAATTTTTACTAGGATCATAACCTGTGAAATTGCAAAAGATGCCCGTGACAGATTAGAGGAGTTCCGAGGCAATGAAAGAACAAGGCAGATGCAAGTGCTAAACTTTAGAAGGGAGTTTGAAACCTTGAAGATGAAGGACACAGAAATGGTGAAGGAGTTTGCTGATAGGCTGAAGAAAGTGGTGAACCAAATAAGGCTGTTGGGAGATGATTTACCAGACAAGAGGATTGTAGAAAAGGTATTGATAAGCTTGCTTGAAAAATTTGAATCCAAAATCTCCTCTCTTGAGGACTCATGAGACCCGTCAAGCATATCCTTGGCTGAGCTTGTGAATGCACTCCAAGCTACAGAACAAAGGAGACTCTTCAGGCAAGAAGAACAGGTTGAAGGAGCTTTGTTTGTTAAAGGAAAACATGAAGCTCAAACCGGTTTTGGAATGAAGAAACCACAACACGAGAAGAAGGATGTTGAAAACAACAAAGGTGCAGGCAAGGATGCAAAGTATCCTCCCTGTCCTCATTGCAAAAGAAAAGGTTATTCTCCAAAGTGGTGTTGGTTTAGACCTGGAATTCAATGCAGAGCTTGCAAGTAGTTTGGTCATGTGAAGAAGGTATGTAAAAACCAAAAGGAGAACACGGATCTGCTGCAGCAGGCTAAAGTAGCAGAAAATCAGCAGGAGGAGCATCTTTTTTCAGCCATAAACTACAGAGTTGGCAACTGGGTTGAAACTTGGTTGCTAGACAGTGGATGTACTCATCACATGACTTCAAACTTAAGCATCTTTCTGGAATTAAACGATGCATACAGATCAAGAGTCAAGGTTGGAAATGGAGAGTATGTGGAAGTGAGAGGAATTGGGAAAGTTTCTATCCAGACACCATCAGGTATCAAATTTATTTCTGATGTACCCTATGTGCCTGATATAGATCAAAATCTGGCAAGTGTTGGACAATTGATTGAGAAGAATTATACCTTGATATTTAAGGACAGTAGCTGCACTATATTGGATCCTAATAACCTTGAGCTGATGACAGTTGAAATGAAACATAGAAGCTTTCCTTTGGAATGGAAAAATATAAATCCTCATGCTCTCACCAGTACTTTGATTAAGTCTTCCCTGTGGCATAAACGTTTTGGACATGCTAATTACACTTTACTCAAGCACCTGAATGAACTAGAACTTGTGGAGTTGAAGCATTGCAATTCTGAAGATCAATATGTTGACATTCTAATAAAAGCTTTGCCTAAAGGAAGATTTGAAATATTGAGAAATTGTCTTGGTGTTTCCGGCAAAAGTTTCAGGAGGAGTGTTGATAGTTGTGTGACACTTTTGTTGTCATCAAACCAATGTTTTTGTTATCATTTGTCCTATGTTTTGTGTACTTATTTCTAGCCTAAGCAAAGTATGATCTTGCAACAAGTTAAGTTGCTGTCATGTAAGGCTAAGTGGTAGTAGGTGGAGATAATTGTTGAAAAATACTTTTGTGATGTATGATTGATTGTATAAAATCTCCAGCCGTGTAACACTTCATGTGTGAATAAAAAACTTATCTTTCTCTCCTCTTTGTTCTTCATTTACCTTCACAAAGAATATATGTGTTCAAAAAGGCTAAGCAATGTTTGACTATACTCCTCATGCAACTTTTGATGTCATTGTGATTATTTTTACTTGAACCATGTTTTCTGTTCACTGATAAGGTGAAAATCTAATGAAGATTCGTAAATCAGCCATCCCTCTTTAAGGAATTTTTAAGAGGTCCTGCATTATAGTTAGATAAGAATGCAATGCAGTCAAGAACTAATTTTATTTCACTTTGTTTTTTATTTCATTCATTTTTTGGCATTTTGGTATTGCATATATTCCATTCGATAATGTATTGGTTAACCATTAATAATTTCCTGTGTGCTTGTAATTGATCTCAACATGTTTTGCAGGAACAACACGCTCAGTGGGAACAGTAACATGGACAATAGCATTTGGATGAAAGCGGAGTGGAAAATTGGAGAGGTAAACACTAACATTATACTTTGTCTATGGGTTAGAACTAGTATTTAAACATCCTTGAATTAGGTAGATCCTTTATAAACTAAGACCAGAAAATGCTAGATTCATGCACGAGGGTTTCACATTAGACACAAGGGTATGTTTGTTATGCAATATTGAACGTGATATAACACTACAATGGATAAGATTCTACTTCATTTTTTTTCTTTAATATTGTCTAGTGGCGTCTAATCCCCCAACCTGGCACCCCAACAGCGCAAGTGTGCCTGCTATACATAAAAGGCACACGCATACAAAAAAAGACTGGGATTTAATCTGCAACCAGGGCTGAACCAACCAAGACTGATTTGTAAAAATTGGGTATCATAACACTTTAGATTTAGTGCGTGTTTGTCTCCCATTATTGTAGAAGAAATGGAGTGATGAATAGTATTTTTTGGAGAATGTATGGTTGAAATTTAAAGTAACTTTATTGATTTGTGTGTAAAATATTTTATTGGTGAATATATGGTGGAGAATCTTACTGTAGCAAACAATATTTTGGAATAATGGGAGACAAACGGGGCCTAATTTTGTGAAGTGGGAATTGCACGAGTCCTAATTTTCCAGCAGAAGATAAATAACTACTACTTGAGGCATGAAAAAGCACGAGTATGACTTCCATATAATTCTTTTTTTTTTTTTTTGCTTACTTGACTTCTGATAAATTTTGCATTTCGAGCATATAATTGATTTTTTTTTAAAAAATTGATTTATCTTTCAGATACGAGAAGAAGCACCTCCAGATAATTGTATCTACTAGTATCGATTCTAGCTTGATGTTTAGTAACCATTCCTGTAAATTTTGTGGCAATGTTGTACATCAGCAGATTTCAGATGGTCTTCCAGATCATTAATACTAGAATTGATTCTAGGACTGGAAAGTAAATCTTGTAATACAAGAGAAGACAAAGATTTGTTGTTTCAGCTAGACTTTTTCTTTTTATATACATAATAGAATAGCAAGCATGTGATATCATAATTGTTTCTTGTCAATGCACTGCACCTAACATAAGAGACTTCCCTCTTCTTGTCCCCAACCCCCCGCAGCCCCCACGTATAGAGTGGCATTGGAAGACTATTTACCAGCTATAGAAATGGAAACTTTGAGGTTTGTTTCATGTTGGCCCCTCTGATTTGTTTCAACTCAATTACCTGACTTATATTTTTGTTTAGTTTTAACCGTTCACGGTCAATCCCACATGGCTGTTGAAACATGTAATAACTTGGCATAAACGGCAAACTAACGTTAGGTCACAGTATTTTACAGTCGAAGGATTGGCCATTATACAACTTTAATGATCAAAATGAAATAAATTGAAGTCGGATGATCAAATGTCAAACCCCAAACAATGTAAGGGGTTATTCTCCTTGTTAGGACAACCTGTCTCTTAAGGAAAGAGATGGAACAAACACAGCAAAAGGTACACAAATTATGTAGTTTTTGAATACGCGTTTTTGGTTTAAAAATGATAGAGATTGAAGATGAAAAAGTCATACAAGATCGTGCAATCAGTGTCTTGTGGGTCCATGTTTGCTCTGGCAAATTACAATAACAACAAAAGTCTTCTGGTTTATAATTTTAATCTCTTACAAGCTGTCGTCAAACAAATTCATAGCTTAGATACCCCACACGTCAAATCAACTTATTTTTTGCTTTTCTTCAAACCCACAAAGATCAATCTTCTCACGTAGTGAAGTTTATAATTAGCGAGGACGTGATATACAAGACATGTTTAATTCGTTGAGTTGAGAATATCGTAATAATTATCTTAGTACACGTTTTAACTCTAACGATCTATTTAAAACTTTAATTTTGTAGTCTGACATTCTATAACGAAAATATTTTTTTGGGCCTTGAAATTATAAGTGGATGTGAGTTGAAGATAGGGTGACAATAGACTAAGTTGAGCTGGCTCGACCTTTATACTTGAGCTCCAGTTGGTTCTGTAGATGAGTCGAGCTCAATTCATGTCCACAAATTAGGCTTAGCTCGATCATTTGGCTCTTGGGATTCATGGGTCGAGCTAAACCGTCCACGACCCTGTGAGCCAGCTCATTTTTAAAGAAAATAATAAAACAGTCCTAAAAATGAGCCAGTTCATGAAAAAATTAAAAAATTGTGCTCTACCCGACCCATGGCTAATCTCAATGAGAGCTTGAGCCGGGATGAGCCGAACTCGAGAGAATCGACGCGCCATCGTTTGATACCCCTAATTGAAGGTGACTGATAAGGACAAATGATTTTGTTTTAATGTCCTAAGATACTAGCCGACACATCTTTTATATTCTAAACTGACCATTAATCACTCCATCCATCTCTCTTGTTAAATAGTTTGTGGCTACACGTTTCTCTACTTCTCCTGCAACGTGCTCTCCTATCATAATGTCAACGAAAACAACATACAGAGGGAGATATTAGAACCAGTTGATTCTTAAAAATGATTACTAGAACCAGTTAATGTTTGGTATCATGTGTAGAATTCTCATTGATGTAACATAACCCAACCAGAATGACTGGACTACGGCCACCCCTAATAGAAAGGGTGTCTTAGTTGTTTATTCAAATTAAAAATAAAAATTCCAAACCCATCTGGCAGAGAATAATGGACTGTCAACAATTGCATAATAAAAACTGATACAATCCCAAGTGTGTGTGCGTGTTTTTTTTTTTAATGATATCATAATACAAATCAACTTAATGGGCTCCCATTATACAAACTAAAATTTCTCCTATCCTAAACTACTATAAAGTAGAGGGTGGAGCTGTTGAATTGAAGTGTGAAGCCAGCCTGTGGCTATTCATTCATATAAACAGGAACACAAGCCATTGTTGTCATCTCAAAACAATCTTCTATCCTTCCATTTCTTGTTCTTCTGAATGTTTTCAAATTATTTGCTCCAATGAAATCCATAGCCAGAAATCAAAAGGCAATGCTGCATTTGCAGCATAACCCAATTCTCTTGATTCTTGCAGTAATTTTCTTGTTTTCCTCTCAAATAAATGCAGAAAATGGCATTGATTTGGATGATATTGATAGAGATATGAAGAACTTAACGTTCGAAAACCCTAGTATTCGACAAGCCTACATTGCTTTACAAGCATGGAAACAAGCCATTTTCTCTGATCCTTTCAACTTCACAAAAAACTGGACAGGGCCTGATGTTTGTTCCTACGGTGGAGTCTTCTGTTCGCCATCTCCAACGAATGCCTCCATGCGAGTCGTGGCTGGGATCGACCTAAACAAAGCAGACATCGCAGGCTACCTCCCGGATGAGCTCGGTTTATTGACTGATCTGGCTCTTTTCCACATCAACTCCAATCGATTCTGCGGTGTTATCCCTAAGAGTTTCAAGAAAATGAAGGTTCTTTTCGAGCTAGATGCAAGTAACAATCGCTTTGTAGGGGGGTTTCCTCGAGTAGTTTTGTCATTGCCTGAACTGAAATTCTTGGACCTCAGGTTCAACGAATTCGAGGGACTCGTCCCAAATAGGCTTTTCGACAAACCCCTCGATGCCATTTTCCTGAACGATAACAGATTCAGGCTTGGAATACCGGAAAATCTTGGAAATTCTCCAGTTTCTGTTTTGGTATTGGCTAACAATAATCTCGGGGGTTGCATTCCAGGCAGCATTGGAAAAATGGGTAAAACTTTGAATGAATTGATATTGATGAATGATAATCTAACTGGTTGTTTGCCTCCAGAGATTGGAATGCTGAAGAAATTGACAGTATTTGATGTTAGTTTCAATAATCTCCAAGGGCAATTGCCCCCGGGTATTAGCGGTATGAGGAGCTTGGAACAGCTAGACGTGGCACACAACCGCCTCACCGGAGAGGTGCACGCCACTGTGTGCCGCCTACCCCAGCTGCTCAACTTTACTTACTCGTTCAATTACTTCACCAAGGAGGCTCCAGGATGCGCTAAATTTGGTGGAGGGGCAGTGTCCGATGGGCAGGAGAATTGTATTCCGGGAAAGAGTGATCAGAGGTCTGCTAAAGAATGCTCGTCTGATGCTGCTAAGCCATTTGATTGCAGCAAGTCCAAGTGTGGCGGTGGCTTTAGGATGAAGCCTAAACCAAGGAAGAGGCCACCAGTTCAGACAAAGCCGCCATCTCCAAAGCCATCTTCTGGGCCAAGGCCTTTCCACAAGCCTGTTTCTTCACCTCCGCCTACTTCAAGGTCTTCACCGTCAATGAGATCACATCCTCCACCACCACCATCTCCATCTCCAAAGCCGACACCGACTCCATCTTATCATGCACCACCACCTGTACACAAAGTCTCTCCAGGATCTCGCCTTCCGCCACCTCCGCCGCCAACTTACCACTCTAAGCCCGCAAAGCATTGGCATTCACCTCCACCACCTCAATATAAGAGCTCACCGAAGACACACTATGCATCTCCACCACCACCGCCTAAGCATAAGAGCTCACCGAAGACGCACTATGCATCACCCCCACCACCACCACCACCACCACCTCCACCAGTTTATGAGCACGTGATACCATCACCCCCACCCCCACCCCCACCCCCACCGCCCTCACAATCACCTCCACCTCCTTACACATATTCATCACCACCGCCACCTTCTCCATCACCTCCACCGCCCTACATATATTCATCGCCGCCGCCGCCATCTCCTTCACCACCTCCACCACCTCCTTATGTATATTCATCTCCACCTCCACCTCCACCGCCACCAACCTCTCCATCACCACCTCCACCTCCTTACGCATACTCATCACCAGCACCACCTTCTCCATCACCTCCGCCACCCTACATATATTCATCTCCACCACACCCACTATCACCACCTCCACCATCCCCTGGATGCTATGAATCAACACCACCTCCATCACCTCCTTATGCATATCCATCCCCATCATCTCCACCACCATACACGTATTCATCCCCTCCACCACCTTACACATATTCATCACCTCCACCACCCTACACATATTCATCCCCGCCACCACCTTCTCCATCACCTCCCCCACCCTACACATATTCATCACCCCCACCACCTTCTCCATCACCTCCACCGCCATACACATCGACGCCGCCCTCACCATCACTGCCTCCACCATCCCCTGGATGCAATGAATCACCGCCATCGCCACCTTATGTATATTCATCACCCCCACCACCTACTCCATCACCTCCAACAGCACACAAATATTCACCTCCCCCACCACCTTCTCCATCACCTCCACCACCCTACATATATTCATCACCATCTCCGCCTCCACCACCAGTGTACGAAAACATACCACTTCCTCCAATCGAAGGAGTCTCCTATTCATCTCCTCCACCCCCTGTCATTCCATACTACTGAAATGATGCTCAGTTATATTCCATTCTCCTCTCTTAAATTCCAAAAGGGTGTTCCATAAAAACGTGAGAGAATTCTTTTCTGCTGTTAAAGGGAGTAGTTGTGCTTCTGATGATCTGCGATTCCATTTTGAGGGGCTCCTGCTTCAACAATAACTAGCTTAGTTTTACTTGTTAATTATTATACAAGTTTTTATTGTTCATAATTGCAACTTATATTCTTTAAATGTCATCTTTTATTATTATATAAAAGTTACCCAAGTTTTTCTCTGGTGGTGAAGATAAATATGTAAATCAGCACACTCTTCCAAAGAGTCTCTCTTTTTACCTGGCAGCTCTTGATAATTATCTATTTTAAATTAAAATCCAGAATTCCTACTAATATATAAGCCTCCATTGGCAAATTTATAAATGATTTATAAATAAAAATAGTAAGAAGAATAGTAGTAGACCCCACAAAATGTGTGAATAATAATGTGTGGTACTTATAAATGTGTAGTTGAAATTAACATTTGATTTTAACTGAATTTATAAACCATTTATTAATTGCTAGCCAAAAAGAGGCTTAAAAACAAAACGGATAGAATGTTAAGGAAGGGGGAGATAAAACCTGACATTACACATACAAAAAAGCATATAATAAAGGAACATGTATCAAACATATAAAATGAGAATGTTCCACGTGAATATTCTACTAAAGTGGATATTCAAGAAATAGATGAAATTTTAAGGAATTTGGAAGAAATTGTATCAAGCAATCAAAATGGAATTCGTGATACAGTATTTAGAGGCATTACGAGTGTTTAAACTGCCACCTTAGCAAAGCTTTGACACACAATCTCACCACTGCAGCATAATGGACACATCATACAACACTGCATCATGGTTGCATCTTAAATCTGATGATGTATACTTTCAAGCTAGAGACTAGCTTCCAACTTCATGTGTAAATGAATGAGTTGAGTTATTTTGTTCACGTTCACATATTCATACGATACAAACAGCAAATGCATTGACCATATGACAAACAAATGTGCCATTACCAGCATCTCACTGCAGAGAAAACTATACAGCATACACACACAGAAGTCAACTGGCGCTGGATATTACTACATCAACGAGAATCTTTTTCTTCTCAATAAAATTAAAAACAAATCATCTTACAGTTCCAAGGAAACTGCATTGAAGCCTCTGTCTTTCCAATGAAAACCCGAGTAATTCATGGGAGAGTTATTTCCAAGTAAACATGCCACATGAACTTGAGCAAATTCGTCACTTGATTTTCTTCTTTATTTTCTTGTATCTCATTTATAAGAGCTTTATCCAAAGCGGATAACAATGCATGATATATCGTCTTTGCTCTTTCTCGTCAAAGCCTCCGTGGTTAAACGCTTAGCTGCTGCTTGAGGATTTCTAATGGATCTTACCATATTGACAGCCTCTTGGTTATCCATCACCTGCCAATAGAGATCACAGAATAAATTTTAAGATGTGCATCTTTCTATTGTTTAATCCATGAGTTTGGGAAGTAATTAGTTTTCACTGAAGGCTGACATCAATTCCTTTCACATGTGAATGGATGACCACAGGAAGGAGAACATTATAGTTGACTTACACAAGGATAAGATGATATGAGAAATTATAAAATAATTTGCATGTAATAAGAATGATATGAAACTTTTGTTAGGAGGGATCTTTCTTAATCCTCCCCAACATCTTTTATCCATTCTGGCAATCAATAATGAAGTTTTTCAAAATTTGACAAGAAGAAAGGAAAAAAAATTCTTATTCTATTACAATTCATTCTATTTTTTCAAATGAAAATATTAATAAAACCAAAAGTACACTGATTATAATTTTAATTTGATGTAAGCAGTTTTAAGATGATGATAAAATTAAAGAGGTAAGTTGACATAACCTCATCTTATTTACTGATTTTGTTTAGAAGAGTGCAATGAAGAGAGCTCTGTTACCATTAAAAGGCAAAAACAGTTTTATGGTGAAAACTAATTTCCCAGCAACGAAAAAGCTCAAGCCGATATATAATATTTATAAATACTACGTTTCATCAAACAGAAGAAAATGACTACAATTGCCCAAAGTTTTTTGGATATTTTCCAATGTACAGTTTTTGTGAAAATATGTGAAACCTGCTGAGTGATATAAACGTACTAAATGAGCTTTTATGTTCCTGTCAAGGATTAGATAAAGGAGAAAAGATTTCCTATCCACATTGCAACATAGAACCATAATTTTTTTAATCATTTTCAACAGTTCAATGTGTGAAAAGTAGCACAACTATCAGCGGAAAAGAGATGCCTGTATAATGAAGAATCTATGCAACAAAATTCAATGAAAACTGACCTTCCATAAACCATCACTTGCTAAAATGACGAACTCTATACTTGAGTTGATGCGTACATTGCATACATCAGGCTCTGAACTCAAATGTGCTTTTAGGTTTTCGTCTCCAAAAGCACGTGCCACAGCAAGCTGCCCGTTAACACGAGGCACATCTCCTAAATATAGAACACCTCATATTATTGAGCAAGATATGTCCAATCAAAACTCATCTACTCAGTAATAGAACCTACTTTGATAGAATATCACACATAAAATGCTATTCCAAGCATGTCCAGCCAAGCTTAAAAAGGATTTAAGGTTTCTATTAAGTAACTTTTGTTTCCAAACATATTTTGATAAATTACTTCTTTTTCTTATTTCTAAGTAGAGGGGAAAAAAAGTCACTTATTTTAAAAATAAGTTTGATGTTACTCATAATAAATAAATTACTTAAAATTACCAATAGAAAAATTATTGATTTGACACTGACTTATTTACATGTACTTCAAAATTTTAAGCTTATCTTGATAGCCGAAGGAAGGCATTCTACCCAATAAGACCAATACTTCGGATCCTACTTGGACAAATCAAAATATATTGTCGATAAAGAGAGGTACGTCTTGTTCATTAAAATCTAGAAAATATCCCGCCATAGTTAGGACGGTCAAACTACATGCTCTAGGTCTTCAAAGATCTCCAGAAATAGGAGTTATTAGCAAATATAAATATTTACCAGGAAGATTAGTCACAAAACCACCCTGTTTCTCGATTCTTCTTCGTTCGTTGTGTGGCTCATGATCCACAGTGAGTTGTCTGGCAGTTCCACTCTGGCACAAGACAGCTCGGGAATCACCAACGTTTGCCACCAATAGATCTTTTCCATCAATAACAATAGCAGTTACCGCCGTTGACCCACCAGGTCCTAATTGCATGGAATTCTCTAGGATAACTTTATCAGTCGAGTTGTAAGCATTTTTTATAGCGCTCTTAGGGTCCACCCAAAAGCTAGGCTGTACATTGGAGTGAAAATAGATTAATGTTGATGGGAACTATAAGGATAATAGATTACAATACAAGTGAAGGAATATTTGGTAATGTTATCACTTATAAAAGTTCTGTGTAAAGGAAAAGATCAAGGATTAGTAGGATTGCCATAGTGATAAGCAAAGTGACAATGTCGATCTCCAGTGAAACCACCTCTTGATTAAAAGACTAATCTGTTAGAGAAGGTACATAATTATTTATTTAAATTTAGACATCCAACACATCCCCTCAAGTGCAATGGCAAAATCATTTTCTATCAAAATCCTGTCACATAAACAATTTCCATTATTCCATAAATGGTTGACGTTGAGACTTGAACTCAAGTCTTTTGCCTATTTAGATCATCTAAAACCTTAACCTATTAGAGATGGATCAAAATAATAAATTAAATTTGGTCTTCAAAGTATCTCTGTATGAGTCTTGTGGAAAGGAAGAGATGCAGGATTGCAATTCGTTGGTAAGTCCTCTAGCTGCAATGTGAATAACTTGGAAGTCCTAGTTATTCATGATAGAAATCTTAATTATTTCGCTTTTTAGTTCAATTAGCTGATGAGAATATCCAACCGAACGAAATAATTTGTCACATCAAGAGTACATTATATCAATCAACTTTCTGAAAGTTCATGGAAGAGCAGAAATTGTGGTTGCTTCAATTCGTTGAAGGCTTTCTCTTCTGAATTCTAATAAGCAAAGATACACAGTTCGATTTCCATTCAGAAGACCTAAATGAAAAGTGCTCCTGTGAAATAGAAGAATATTAAAATAATATGTTGAAGTGGAAACCCAGGTCTGCGCAATATTATGAGGGGTCAAACTGGTCATTATTCACAAATTTTGGTACAGTAGACAGTGGTGAGGAGGTAGCCGAAGTTAAAGTGCTGCAGATTAGGACTAAATTAGCATTTAACTAGAGTTCCACATCAAGGCTCCTGGTCCTTGGTCTGCTGTTTCTATTACAATCAATATTGAACAAACTGCAGTCAGTTTAATTCCCAATATCACCACGACTTTCAGGAAGGAAGGGAATCATCTGATTAACTTGTTCACATGTTTCTCTCATCATCTACAGTACCAAGAGAAAGCCATCATAATGCTGCATGTCCGAAAAAGTTCTGACCTTGAAAAATACATATTATTTCTATTATAATTGTTTGGGATGAGTCATTATGATTTCATTACATAATAATGCAGGTCCTAAAATTACACTTCCCCTCATCAAATTTCAGGTCCAAAAATTTACCTACACTGCGATTCTCTCACTACCTAGAATCTTTAAGCTGCCATATTTTGTTTCTAACATATAACTGTACACGATACGATTTCTGTTAGCAGAAAAATCTTCTAAAACATTATAAATATAAAATTTTATCTATAATTATACTCCGTTTTCCTAATTCCTTTCAGCATAACCCAACCCCGCATTGTTTGAAGTTATGAAAACATCATTCTCAGAACATCTTAATTTCAACAGCAAGCCATAAAAGTCAGTTGTTAATCCTCTCGAACTGTATCAAAACAAGACAGTAACTAAGATTTGTTAAGAAGAATTAAAGTGGCAAAGAAATGAAAAAGACATCCACAGATTGAAACTTACCTCTTCGAGTATGTTGTTATAGAGATTTTCCTTTAAGTAGCTTGGTACACGATCACCAAGGTGACCATCAAAAATAGCAAACAAACCTAGCACATGCCCCCTCTTTTGCCTGTACTCAGCAACATGGTAGTCCTCCATGTCATGACCCGATTGACCTTCCACCAAATGGAATCCATGTGACACTTCATTACTACTTGATGATGACTTAAACTTGATCTTCCCTTTTCCTGTATCTGGTGAAGATCCATCTATACAAATAACTCTCTACAAACCCCACCCAAACAGAATTAGCAAGCATAATTAAAGGAGACCTACTCTATACCACTTCTCATCGTATATTAAACATCCTCACACCATAGTGGAGTTAAACTTGCATTACATAGGACAATGATCAAACAATTTACCAGCATAGGATATAACTCAAAATCTATAACTGCGTTTGGTAAGAAAAAGACAAAGGCGACATTTCAATTCAATAACAAGTAACTAATTGAAACCAGAACTCTTGTCTCCAGCAAATTTCAATTAAGAGCTCATACAAAAAATACCATAATTCACTTATTCTGTATTTTACATATAGTTTTGAAGGGTACCTTAATGATATGAAAACAACCCCTGGAAGACGAATACCCTTTTTTCTCCATATGGGACTCTGAAATAACTAATTATCGTGTAAAATCATACAGATAAAAAAATTCTTTTTTATGATTTTATGCAAATTTGGGCAATTTCTCGATCAATAAACGAAGTAAAGGAGAAAAGGATCTGCTGTTCTTCGCGTGCTATAGGGTTTTCGCAGACTATCAAAAGTCAGCAGCTGAAGTCTTTGTAGTGTGAAATGGAGGGTCGTTTACTCTCAGCCTGTAATTCAAGAAAATTGAGCTGAATTTCTTGACCATACTGAAAAGTATTTTTTAGGTATTTATTGCAGAAATTGATAAAGTTCGTTGACAAATTCCAAGGCTAAAAACTGAAATGGTTTATTCCTTTTTTGACTGCTCGAGATTTGATAAATTATATTTGCACATCTTGTCTCTACGGACGATTTCCGTCAAAATGTTCTGCTAACGTGAATTGGAATGCGGGCAAGTACTTTATCAAACTTTTATCATTTTGAAAAAGTTGTAACTGTTGTCCCAAATTTGAATTAGTCGCAGTTTATATTTAAACCTTTTATTTGTACTGAGTCCACTGACCACAGTTTTAAACCTTTTATTTAAAAAAAGGTTGAACCCCAACTTTGAAGGCCCCTCACCGACCTTGTCCTGAACCATTATGGAAGAGGTAAATCGCAGAATGTGCCTCCCAGGAGCCAGAGTGGAGAGCTTATGGATAGGCCTTGGACTTTTAAGTTTTAACCATATGGTAACTACCGCTTGCAACAAAACCAATTCCACATTGCGGGGAATCGAACTCTGCACACAAAAGTCAATTCCACCTTGCGGGGAATCGAACGCTGCATACTACCGCGCTGAGCCCTAACCATCCTCCCTTTGCCACTGGGAGATATGCCCTGGGGGCAGTTTTAAACCTTTTATTTCGTTGCAATAGAAGGGCAAATGGATTGGCCGAGTCATTTTGATCAATTAAGAGAAAGGTAAATTTGTAACTTTATATTTTTCATAAAAAATAATTTTAAAAAAATTAAAAGAACTATTAATTTTCTTCCCCAAACCCCCACCCCAACACCCCAAACTTGCAACCACCTCACTCCACCCCAACTAAGCAAATCCACCTACGCTCGCGCATCCCACATCTTCTTTGCCAAGACCCTCTCAAAAACTTTTCTTTTTCATCATTTCCCCCTCAAGACCTTCGAAGATGGTAATGACGTCGTGCAATAGAACATGGGACGTCGTATATGTGGTTTGGCAAATCTTTAATTGCCAACTTAGAATCTGAAAACAAGAAATTCTGCACTGGCAAGCATTTGGTTTTCACTTGCAATTTATAATGCGTCAACAAAGGGTACAATTCACTGACTTTGGTAGTGTATTGCACATCGTAAGCTTCAATCCTGTGCGTGCTTTTCTTCAAGCTTGGAGACTAGGTACAAGCTTTTGTCCACAGCATCCCTGGTGGCGATGAAGTGAAACAAAAAATGAAGATAAAGAAGAGCATGAAAACAAGAAAACCATGTGCGGTGAGTAGGGCTATTAATGGATTGAATTTTGATTTGAATCCGGTAAAATGAATGGGGGGTGAATTTATGATTTTAATCCGATAACCCAATCAATATTCGAATCCGATAATTCGTTAACTAAATGAAGCAAATATGGATATTAGGTCAACCCGATTCGATAACAACTCGATCCGATTTTTTATAATAATATAATATATTTTATATATTATCGCACAATTTATTATCCATAATTTTTTTTGAAACTTATACTATACTTTACACATGATTTTCAAATAATAAATAATATTAGATAATAGTATTATATTGTTAATTGAAATATTTGGAGAAATTTTAATTTTTTATTAATTAAAATAAGATAAAAAATTTATTTTATGAATTAAACAACCAAAGGGGTCAATAGTTGGAGTTGTTTTCATTGTTTCCACATTGGATATTCATTAGAATATCATAGGATTTGCAATTTATGTATAGGCGGACCAAGAACCGGGTAAAAAACTAGATGAACCTTTTAATTATAGGGCTTAAATGTTGACTGATATAAAAATTTTATCTTCCTAATTTCTTCAATTTAGGATCGGATCATCGGATCGAATATTCGATACATAGCAAATCGGATATGAATTTAACAATCAAATATTCATTGAATTATTGGATCGAATTAGATCGGATATGGGCAAATCCAATCCATTTTACAGCCAACGGTGAGATAGAGCCACTACTCGCGCCACTGTTGTCGAGTTTGTACAATATTTCAAAACTCATTTTCAACTACACATTCTTTAACAAAATAATATTTTCCATCACATCAATAATTTTTTCTTACTTTTTAACCACATATTTCATATCATATCATTATTTAAAATACATTCTTTTCTCAGTAATATTCATCAAACACACCCTAGATTAAGGACACAAGTGTAAAAATGAGCAAAGGTTAAACATTTTCATTGCAATTAAAATGTGTGCTAACTTGAAATAATTCACAAGTTCAGGGACCAACTTGCGACAACAAATACAGTCGCTATGATCAATGCACTTGAGCGACTGCATTGAATTTTACTGAAAACTACAAAATCTTTTAAAAAATATGGATAAGAAGTAAAACAAAACAGAGTAATCTGTGAGTACAAATTCTATTTGATCAAATCACAATCGGAATTCGAAGGAAGGGAGGAAGAATCAATGTCAATGGAGCCTCCGCCATTCGAAGAAGCCTCGCGTTGTAACGTCTGTAAATGCAGCTTCACCACCTTCCGCCGTCGGGTGCCCTTTTTTTTTTTTTTTTTTTTTTTTTTTTTTTTTTTTNTTGATTATTTTCAATTGCTTCGTTATTTGTGTAATTAATTGTATAGTCTGATTTTGATCATTTACTGTGTGCCGGATCATTTGCATCTGAATTTATTTTTATAATTAATTTAGAATGAGGTGATTGCACGATACCACTAAGTTGCTGGGGGATTTATGGTTTATGGCCCAGTGGACTGAAGAGTTATTTCATAGATCGTTGAAAAAATTCACGGGTTCGCTGTTTTTATTCGTGACCCTTCACACAATTTGTGTAAAGGTTTAGTTTTTGTGTAGTTTAAGATACAGCAGATGTTGTGTGATGGATGTGGAGGAAGTTGAGGGTGTTCAATGGTTGTCGGGGAATTAACTACTGAAGTTCATCGAGGATAAACAAAGCTTGTAATGGTTTTTGAGAAATGGAGTGTATATGAATTGTTGAAAATGGGAGGTGCAAATTCCATTCTTGAATTTGAAAATAAAGAGTGAGAACCCTCACCAGCGATAAATTGTAGAATTTAAGGAGAAATGAGGGCCTAAATTGTTATGCAGAATGGTTAGAAGCCATTGTAGAGATATGAATTGTATGGTTATGATATACGTTTAGTGGAGGCAAAGTCTATATTGATAACAGCTCCTGGTGTTTAATAAAGGGTAAGAGGTCTGGGTAGATTGCAGATTGAGGATTTTAGGGAGAATCATGACTTAACTTGTGAAGTTTCACTGTAGGTTTATTAGGTAATGCTGACGAAAATATAATCCAGTTGTTTGATGGCACGTGTGTTTTCGAGGGACAAAAGAAGTCTTATAATGAAACCGAAGAACTTTTTCATGTTCTTGTATTTTTCTCCTAGTGACGTGATGGACGTAATCTCCCTTTAGATATATATTTGGCTGTATTTTTTGTTCTATATTTGTACCAATTATTACCTTCCGTATTTCTCATTATCCACATTTTCGCAGCATCACTGCCGATGTTGTGGCCGAACTTTATGTGCTGAACATTCATCAAACCAAATGGTATGCACTCTATGTACTCATAAACTTGTGTGCCTACGTATGAAGGTACTGGCTATTGGTCTACAGATAAGAAATTATGTAATTAATTTCTCTATTTTTCTCATCTTTTGTTCAGGCCTTGCCACAATTTGGTATTCACTCTGATGTGAGAGTATGTGCTGAATGTTTCAATAATGCCTCCAGGTAATTCTCTTTATTGTGCCAGTGAGGATTGTCCAAGCCAGAATATATGTTTGACTTTCTAAATAGTCAATACATATTCACTAAAAAGTGATGAGTATTAATCAATCAAAGCCACAACGGGGCTGAAAATATGGCTGCCACATATTAACTAATCATTACTGTCAAATTCGAAGTACTAACTATTCAAAAAGTCTAATAGATGATCGTTTGATCTTCAACAAGAAGCTGTCTAATGCTGTATGAAATTGGCTTTTTATAACCAAGGTGGGATTCTTGGTATAGATAGCAAATATACAGTATATCTTGCAAGCAAAGGTGGAAATCCAGTTTGGAATCGATTGATATCTAAATTTTAATCTAAATCAAAGTTAACAATTAATTTTATTAACATATTTCATGAGATCCACAACTTTTATCAAAATCTACTAAAAATTTGATTTTAATCCCCATCAGAGGTAAAATTACAATAAATTTGATTTTTTTTTCTCTTTTCTCTCTCTCTCTCTCTCGCAACTCCCTCCCTCACGCTTTTTGCCAAAATCTTAACCCTTCTAATTTTTTAAAATTTATCTATAATTTCTTTACAAATTATCACATCTACTACAACTCTTCACTTCCCATCAAATCTTCAACTAATTAAAACCTAAATTTTCATTTTCTCCCATCAAATTGTGTATATAGAATGTGTGAGAAATGATTATGTTCAATTTGATTTATATTTAACGAATTGTGTTTAAGATTGATTATTAGTATTGAATATTGGTTATATGTTTTTCCTTTCGATTACTTGAATTAATTGTTTTTCTCAAATATACTATAAATTCTTTAAACGTAAACATGCATTTTCTTGTGATGAGCAAAATATTAATAAAATGATTATTCGAAATCAAATGGATAAAAATGATGAGCAAATATTAATGAAGGAATTTTTTTTAAATATAAATGTGCATTTTTTCGGATCAAGTATGAATCGTTCAAAAATCAAGAAAAAGTATTCGATCTATATAGGGTTTGACTGTGCCCCCCTAACTTAATATATTTGTGTTCGCCCCAGCTTTCAAGCATGTACCGTATTTGATTCTGGAGTTGAAATCTCTATATTCATGCTAGTTGTTTGAAATCTTTCTGTTTTCAAAACTGCCACTGTACATATTTGGTCAAAGTGATTTTTCTTTTCGATTGATTCTTGCTTATTTTGCTAGCTTTCTCATGCCACAACCACAGAGTTTCTGAGGAACTTTATATTGATTGAATTATTCTGTTCCATCACTTGTACTGAAAATGTTTTGTTTTGAAATTTTCACTTATTTAAATTCCTTAATTGAATATTGTACTCATAGATCAAAGAAAGATGACACGCCAGCTTCTTCAAATGGTGTTAATGCTGTAACAGATTCAGTTTCGAGGTTGGATATCAATGTAGTTGCAGATACCAAATCTAAACCAACAGCTGAGAAACTACCAGTTCCTGGCATTTTAGAGTGCAAGTGTGGAATGCCTTTGTGTATTTGTGAAGTACCAGCTCCTCCAACTGATTCTGTTACCCTACAGGCAAGTGCTCTCACATGTCTGGTAATGCATCTTGGGTGAACCCTGTAGGCCTCAGGAATTTCATTTTATTGCAACAGGTAAAAACTACTTCCCCTCCCACAATTCAATTGAATCCAAAGCCAAAAAAGGCAGACCCAATTCCAAAGAGCAGAGGTTCAACATCAAACATCAAACCAAGGTATACAAATGTTCATTTAAGTTGTTGATAGTCTCCCTGTGTCCGTCTTGACGTAACACATTTCGAGTCAAGTTTACCTGTTGTTAGCTTTAGTGGTAAATTCTACTAATCTATCTTTCTATGAGATGAGATCCGTTGTCTCCATTTGCTGCTCCACTTATTTTTTGACAGTTCATCACATCACCTCTTGTTATCAAATGGGAAGACGCGAACACAATACACTATAAGTGATATCACCTCTGAAATGGCATCTTCTCATTTGTTAACAAAAACTGGTGTGCTTGTCAAAAAATAAGTGGGGACAGCCAAATGGGGACTTCATTGGGGCATCATAATGTGTAAGATTGAGCAGTAACAACAATTGAATCTAGTTGGCTACGGCCTATGTGAATCTAATTTAACCACTAAATCCAGAAAAGATTTCATAAAATCACCTTGTTTATGTTTCGGTTCATTACTCAATTTATGGTTTACTATGTTGATTGATTTTCAAGTGATGTTAGGATCTAATAGTTGTTTATCTCCAAGTCATTATTATCCTTGAAATTCTGTTTCCTTCTAAGATAAATTTAGTTGACAACTTAAGAGTTTTAGGTCTTCATTTTGTACTATTTTTTTTTTGTAAAAGCCACCTTTATCAACTATGAATTTGGTTATATTAAAGAACATGTCAGGTTTTCTACTTCAGCTACTTTTCAAGAGTTTTGTCCTTTGTGACCTTCTGAGAAATTAGGCATCAACATGGATTGGAATAAGTTATAGCGCATTTCCCCCTGCGTCACATTAATTTCTAGATCAAATTGAAATCAGAACTAGAGTTGAACCTCAAACTTTGTGGTTGAGGATTATATGTAATAGTGGTTTGAATGATGGCTTTTGAAGCTAAATGAATTCAAAATCTTTCATCCCTGTTGGTGAAGCAAACAAGATGCTGCATCATTGTCATCACTATGCAACTTGGAAACACACAATCTTCTAACAACTTGCTCATGGTGACATTCAAGGTCATGAAAATCTGGAGTTAGCTTGTGATTTTTGGGAATTTGTGACACTTGCAGCTCATTCCAACAGGACAATCTGGACATCTATCTTCAATAAGGACATTTCTGTTAACCCAGGTGGTATATATGACAAGAAGCTCAGTACTTAGTATGGTCCCACTAGTTTGGGTTCTGGGAGTGCAATATGGAAAAAGTGTTGCCCAAATGGTTATCCATCACGAGATGATTCCCCCTGAATTGGAATGCAAAACCTCACAGTTACTATGAGACTTTACTATGATATACGTCTGTCATAAAAGATTTCATGGTTCTGTTTAATGTAATCAATTGTTTTATGAATATGCTTGTGAATTACTCTAATACTGATTATATGCGTAACATCTTGCAGTACTATATTTAATCTTGGTCAAGCTACTAACAATAGCCTAGATAGATCATCCACGGATTATGAAGTTAGTGGAGAGGTATGAGATCTACATTTTGGGTTGGTTAATATGCTAAGTTTGCTACAGGACGTGGTAAAAAAAACCTTTGAATAGGGAACGTTCAATTTCTCTAATTTAGAAGTATTTTGCAAACTATTGCATAGGGTTTGAGAGAAGCAATAAAAAATGGTGATATAGCTTCTGCTAAGAAGCTTTTGAGTCAGGTACTTTTATCCTCCTTTTCCCTTTTTATTCTCAATGGTAGATTGGGACTTAAGTGCTTTCTATGCGCTGATATAAAACTGAATATTTTCAAACTAGTAGGGAGTCGATGCAAATTACTGTGACAAACAAGGTTCATCTTTATTACATCTGGTACTCTCTCCCCCACTCTCTCCCTCACTTGAATCAGAAGATCAAGTAAGTGGATTTGAATACTCATCTGTTGACTTGATTTAATACTATAGGCAGCAGTTTTCAATCAAACTGAGATAGCTTTTGCCCTCATGGATCATGGAGCACGCATGGACTCCAAGAATTTACAAGGTAAGTGGTTTTTATATTTTCTATATTTGTTCATCTTGATTGGGTTGTGGGATAGTCTTCTAGTTTTGGGATACAAATAGATATGCCCTTACCTTAATTGTTCCTGCGGCAGTTAGAAATAGAGGATATCTAAGTTCGTAGCCAAACCTCTGTATTGTGCAAGCAAGCAAATAGGTCCTCATGCTTGTTATTTGGGCCATTCTGCAAGCAAATATGGCCTAAATTTCCTTTTTGCCAGTCATCTATTAGATAGTGCACGTAAGTTATCAAGCGAAACAATCTTCTCTAATTGTCAGTTGGCATGCGTCACTCATTGCATCATTCTGGTTAAATAATGGTTTAGATTCTTTAAAGAGTGGGCTGCATTAAGTTAGTAAGTAACTAGTTTTTTTTACCTTCTTTTTTCAGGTGAAACGCCACTAGATTGTGCACCTGCCACATTGCAATATAGAATGAAGAAGAAGATAGAAGAAAGTATGCAAGTCGATCCATGACATGCCATTTATAGAAACACTCTGTTTGTAACGTTTAGCTGTGGAAAGTTGGCATACTTTCTGGAAGAATTGGTGATTGTAATCTAATGTTTGCTGATATCTATTAATGTTATTAGTGTCCCTGACCAATGATCAAACATCCATGTTATGAATAACAGTAGCAATGATGCAATGATCAGGTTTATTTTTAATGATGATTTATTTTTGGTTCATTCACTATTTCTTGTTACTTCTGTTTTCTTTTATTTTGGTGGTGGGAAATGGTTCTTCGAAAGTTAACTCTTAACATCTGCAATTTCCTAGTGTGTGGATCTTGCATTACGAAAGCCGTCGTACATAGGTTTTTTTTTTTTCATTACCTTGAACATGTCGTCCTTTTAGTTTTCCCCTTTTCATCTTGACTGCATGGTATTGAACTTGAAAAAGGTGCCTTGTTTGTTCATGAGAAAATTAGTAGCAATCTTTTTATCCGGTAGATTGTAGTTGAAGCTTCCTTGAGGTTGCGGAGTACTAAAAGGTGTATTTCAGAACCTTAAAGCAAGTGGGATTGGATTGATGCTGATAAAGTATTCCCTAACGAAATGCAGGTACTTCTTTAGCTCAAATTTCGTCATTTAAAGCTACTTTATGGTAGGATAAAAGCGTCTACTTTTTCATACGTATGATAAAACATTATTTATGTGCATAGAAAAATTTGAAGTAGGCAAAGTATGATATCAGATCTATGTGGACAATGTCATCTTTGGAGGAGATGCTCATGTGGATGTCACTGGCATACTTTTTCCATGACCAACATTTTGCTTTGAAGATTCTCTTTTTATTCTTACTGGATATGAGAAAGTAAAGCAGAAAAAGAAAACGCCACCCCACCCCACTTTTCCCCACCTGTCATCCACCGGGTAGATCTCAGGTTGTGTGTATATGTTTATATCTATATATACCTGCCTCAGGCCATTAAGACCCCCCCCCCCCCCCATTGAAATTGCAATGTTTGGGAGTGATCATATTCTGCTGTGCAAAGCAGCTATTATATTTGCTGTCACAAGATGTCTCTTGTCCTTTGCTCATACAATCTCGAGTTCAATGAGCCTATTCTCTTTTTCGTCGGATTCGTTAACACAGATTTGGTTCAGATCCTCTTCTTCTACATCATCGGCCAACATGAAGATGGTTTGGGACAGTCTCGCCCTGACCACCTTCGGGGACATGACCCGCAGGTTGCCCGAAAGTCATGACACGTGTGCTGTGTGCTTGAACCGGTTGAGGAAGAAAAATGAAGTGTGGGAGCTTAGCAATTGCTGCCATGTCTTCCACAAGCAATGTCTTGAGAGGTGGCTTGCTTATGATAGTCGGTTGACATGTCCTCTCTGTAGGACGTCGTTGCTAGCCGTTAGCCCACTTCCTCCTCCTTCCCGACAACTGCCACCACCTAGCTGGGCCGTCGAGCGAATGCTTTATTTTTTTGGTGATGATCTGCTTCCTTGTGATTGAGCCTACATTTTTGTTAAGGCTATTCAATTTGAGTCTTGATATTAGCTTGTATATAACTGGTCTGAGATGGACCTTTCATTTGTCAAGAAAAGTTTTGGGATTTTTAATTACCACGAAAAATAAAAGTGTATTAGCCAAACTAGCAAAAAAAATTAATATCTTCATGGCATCAAAATGGCTATGTGGATGTAAAAGTCAAAATCAAATACTTTGCTTTTCCTCATATTCCAGTTTCTCTTACTTGCATTTTTCGGAAATCTCAGACTTTAGATTATAATAGAAGCATCAATTTTGAACTAAGTACTTTTTAAAATTTTTATTTATTTTTTGTTGTTCTTATCAGCAGAAGCGATTTCTTCCATTCTTTCATTGTCTATGAATCTTGAATTGATTTTATTTTATTGACGAGGACTCTAAGGTGTGTTTTTAATTTAAATTATTTTCAAATTTTTGTATGCTTTCCATCTACCATGATTTCTGTCAACGAAATTGAAACTGAAATAGAATTAGAAACCATATTTCGCGAAAAAACACGACATTAGTAGAACAAAACAATTTGATGAAAATGTCGATGATGATAAAATACAATATGGTGAAGAAACCTTTGTAATTGATTATTTAATTTCATGATTGATCGAGTCATATTTCTTCACTTCCAAGTGGATTTGAGCAATTTGAAATATATGAGTACTCAATCTCAAGAAATTAAAATCGTTGGATGAAAATGTCTTAATAAGGTATTTTTTGAATCTTAAAAACATTTCAAAGTATGATGAACTTTTTCATATATGCTCTACAACTATTAATTGAATCAGATTTTCTATCAAGCTCTCCAGTCTAATTCAAAATTCAGTCATTTGACACTACCTTATTAATAGAGGGGAATCGTGAAATATTTTTTTGTTGTGTTAAAAGTCCAATTATATTCTTGACTTGTCTACTCCAAGATATAACATCCCAACTGAAAATATTAAATCCTTCCCGCACTAGAAGATGAACTCGAAGCTCCACCAAAACAACACATTTACTTTTTGCCAATATATGTTCTTTTGTAGAGAGAAACTATGAATTTGTTATGTATGTGTGTAAGCAATTAGTAGAATAGGAGTGGTCTATATAGGTGATAGAAATCTAATAGGATTTAATAGGAAATTACACTTCTTATAACTCATGACCAGGACATCCCACACTTAAAGTTCACATGAACATAAAACAAGCCATCCACTTTCTCAAGCATGGTAACTTCTACATAATAAGAAGAACTCCTGGAATATTATATCATGTAAAACTTTTCATTTTCCAATAGCAAAAATTAATATTAAACATTCTAATAATGAAATGTACAACAAGAGGCAAAAGACGAGCAAAGATATGAAAGTACTTTACAAGAGACTGGCGTATGCATACATGAATTTGGAGTAAGATGATGCTGGAAAATGTCACGAGTATACAGTGAAATTTTCTATGCCAAAAACGACGAGGTACATACCCAAAGCATCGTAAGAGAAAAGGCCAAAACGGGAGCTTTACTAACATGTAAGTAACATGCTGGAATCTGGATTGCATGTATAGAGTTTCATCTCATGATTCCCATCAATCTATGGAGGATCCAACTTGCAAATTTTGTCTGCTTAAGTCATACTGTGAATCCACTGGGAATGATTGGTGAGGACGTTTATTGATCTGGGAGTGATGGAAAATAAGAAGACATAGCATGTCTAAACCTTTTTTTGTATTGCACAGGAGAAATCACTGCTGGAGACATGCACAAGTATTTCTTAATCCAAGTTTCAAGATGCTTGTCCCAAGTATACTGTCTCATGAAATTAATAATCCCAATCACCAGCTCGTGCTTCTCCTCATCCAGGCCAACAAGTAGGGAGTAGTCCGTTACATTTATAGACTGTAGCATTACAAGTAAGAATGAATCTCAAGATCTATAGAAGACTTGTCTCTAATGATTTTGGGAGCAGGATGACAATATGAATCCTTTTTCATCACTACATTTGATCCACTGAACATCTAAGAAGGGAATAAGAATCCAGAATATTAAGTTCTTGACATTGACATAAAAATTAGATGTGGTGGCAAACAATGACTGAAGAAAAGAAGGTTGCCTAGGAGTATACAGAAGTACTTGAACTGAGAAGAGAAGAAACTTCTGCAGAACCCAATCTGACTCAGTCATTTGAGAATGTGTCGGAAAGAGTGTATAATCATATTCTAACTCGTTTCTCTTCCAGATTACTCCTAGATTATGTGAGTTTGCAAGTGTGTGTGTGTGTGAGATCAACGACAAACTCAAATAATACAAATCTTAGTTTCAGAAAAAATAAAAGCTCTTGCAATCATGAGCAGTTGAACAAGATGCTTACTGAAAGAAATGAAGTGTCATTCCAAATAGCTCTCTGCAGCAACTGTTTTGACTCTGTTCCCACAAAAACTGGAGAAGTTGCCATTTCCTCAATCAGGTTCTGATCAAGTAAAACTTTATTGCTTCCACCTGTATCTGGATTATACCGTGATCGATAAGATCCTTTGAGATCATACAATCTCGTGATATTGCGCTTGAACAAGAGATTTTCTATTACCAGAACATCCATTCTTGATTCTTTTCCTCCCTCGAGATGTTTCAATGTGACCTTCAAGATGATCACCCAGCACATAAGCTAATACCAACACAAATATATGATTTTGTTGAACCACTTGATCTAAAAAGGTAAACTATTAGATAGAGCCACATGTATATCATTTAAATATTATATTCAACAAACCCCTCACGAGTATGCAGGATTTTATTTTTTCTCATGAAAGCCTTGCACGTTCACAATTTCATTGAAATGGGCGGTGGCGAGACTTGCACCCAAGACCTGCTCTGATGCATGTTGAACCACTTATTCTAAAAGCTTAAGCTATTAGATAGGACCACATCTAAATCATTTAAATATTATTTTAAACATACTTCGTATATTTAGATAGGCACGAGGCATGTATGCGATTGGAAAGATTTGAAAGTATGCTAAGGTGGCAAAAATGATGGAAAGTTGGCTCAATAAATCAGATATGAAGTAAACACGTAGAGTTAGATACTTCAAACATGGCTGGAAATCAAATGAGAGTACTGATGAAGTCAAAACGCATCCACATGAATACTGCAAATAGATATTTATGAACTGAACTTCAGCCACAGTAATACAACTTGGGAGGATAAAGTGAACAGACAATACCTGATAGATGCCAAGGATCTTTGCCAGGCATGTCGGGGTTCTAGCATTAATTGATTCTGACAAATACTTGAAATAAGCTGGTGCAAACTTGATGAACGACTTTAGATCTGCTTTTGTAACTTGTTTGATAATAAATCGGTCATCCAAGGTTTTGGCGAAGAAGACATTGCTCTTGCCGCCCTGTGCACCCCACTTCTTACATCGACTAAGGGACTGAATAAAATCTAACTTGCTTGGGCAACAAGTCTTTCTTAAGGCCTCAAATTGTTTTGCATAATAACAAATCACAGTATACTTCAGCTTCACTGAAGGATCATCATCTAAGAAAGATACTCTGGCATGCAAAACATTTGTGTATAATAGTGGATCCAAACTGGACAAGCATGGAGATCCATAATTGGACAAGAGGCTCTCCCTGGACTCAGAAGCCACCTCGTCAAGAGAATGAAATGGAAGTAAATTTATTTCAGATGACATTAGGGTAAGGTATTCTGGTGAAACAAGGGCATACGATATGATGCTGGTTGGCTCATCCTCATAAACTGGCACAACAATGTTGGTGGAAGCCACAGGTAGGAGCAGTCCAGCTTCACTTTGATGCACTAAAGTTCTCAATGATGAGATATTGACAGGATCATACTCGATAATTTTACTGCGTTTCAGTGAATTTGTTGAAAAAACCTTGTTGAGTAACCGATAAAAGGTTGAAAAGGATATTCCTGACGAACTACTGGAATCATCATTATGTTTTTCGGCCAAGGATTGATCATTTGTACAGTTTCCAACCCCAGAATCTGCTGTGGTTAATCTTGTGCCAGTAGGTAAACCTCCGGGGAGTGGATTAGAAAATGCAACACTTGTTAGCTGGTAATCACAAGTCCATACAGCATCTAAACTATTTAACTGATTTTCCATTGCTTGGAACTTCTCTGATTGAGCCTGTTGCACAGCTTCTCCATAGTTGAGGTTGTCTGATTGATTGCTCGTATTTGTGCTAAAATGAGTAGAACTAGTAACATGTGACAAGCGTTGCAACCAGACATAAGAATGAAAAACTAACTGTCTCCTTAATCTGTTGATTTTGAGAATGTCAACTGCTGGCTGACCGAGTTCTATCTCCCCATCAAGAACTTGCTTTAATAACTCCTAAAACAATATGAACTCTAAATTAGAAAAACAGATATACAGCCTAGTAAAAGCATGGGGTAGAGAATGTGGTGTTCTTCATAAGAACAAATTGCCTTTCGACAGTCTATTTGCACCCTCAAAGATTAGGCAATGATACACTGCATCATGGCTTGGGCATAGGATCGCAACGGGGCAGGGAGGGGCAGCCCTCCCGTCCCCCTTCATGCCGGGGATTTTCGTAAGGCGGGTCATGATAATGATTAAAATATCCTCATTTCTTGCCCGTTAACTATTCTTTATTTTTTAAATAAGATTAAAATTAAAAATGCACATAAAAAATAGTCGGTGCAGGGACCAAGTTCCCCTGCCTTGCCAGATTTCCCCCCCCCCCCCCCCCCCCAGGATCCAAACATGGATAAATAATACACATGTCAATTTAATAGCGGCATGAAGTACTGATTTCCATACTTCAAGAATAGTATAGATTTTCTTTCCCAAGTGTTGAATCAAAATATTAAAGATATAGTCATAAAATGTGGTAGAAAGGAAATGTTTTAGTATTTCACATTTTCCTTGATAACAAGAAATGAAACTGTGCTATCCAAAATTTCTGAGCTAATGGTTTCTTCCAAATTCATTTCAGGA